TCGTGGTCGGGCACACCTGTAGCCAGCCCTTAGGAGGTGTGGTTATGGTATCTCCCTACAGTACACTGCTTCAGTGAAAGTATATATATATATATATAAATTTTATTTTTTTTTACTTGTTTGATTTTTTTTATATGAGTTTGCTCACCCTTCCCTCCCTCCCCTGAGATAGGGTTTCATGTAGCCCAGCTGAGCTCAAGCTCAATGTGCAGCTGAGAATGGCTGTCATAGTTACTTTTAAATTGCTGCGATAAGATACCATGACCAAGACAGCTTACAGGAGAGAGTTTATTGAGGAGTTTACAGTTCCAGAGGGTGATTCCATAACCACCATAGTAGGGAATGGCAGTAGACAGGCAGGTGTGGTGCTGAAGTAATAACCGAGACACAAGCATGAGCAGAGAGAGAGCTGAGAATGGCATGGGCTTTTGAAACCTCAAAACAGGCCCCAGTGACGCATTTTCCTCCAATTCCTAACCCTTCCTGAACAGTTTGACCACTGGGGACCATGTATTTAAAGATAGGAGCTTGTTGTTGAAGCTATTCTCTTTCATATAACCACAATGGCATGGAAGTCATTAAAGATTTCCTTTTCTTTATTCTTTTTTAAACTTTTGAAACAATGTTTCAGAATTTAAATTCAAATCATGACTGGTCTGGAACTCAGAGATCGGCCTGCCTTTGTCATCACTGCCCAGGCTGTGTATGTGTGCGCTGTGTACATGTAGGGGTGTGCAGAGGCCAGAAGGCGTTAAATACCTGGAACTGGAGTTAAAGTGGTTGTGAGCCACCATGAAGGGTGCTGGGAAGTGAACCCAGGTCCTCTGCAAGTGCAGCCAGTACTCTTAACCTCTGCACCAACTTTCCAGTCCCAGGCTTGAACTCTTGCTCTTGATCCGCCTGCCTGTTTCCTTAAATGCTAGTGTTTCAAGTCTGTGCTGCTGTACTTGCTAATCTGAGTAATTGCAATGTTCAGAGAAAGGAATAAGGAGGTGAGAGGTAGAGAATGAGAAAGAATATTGTCTTAAGTTTAGGTAGAATTTGAGAAAGCGAAACATCTGTCCATGAAAAACAAGATAGAAATTGTAACACTGGAGCAAAAATTGGCAAGCTGTCACAAGTAAGAATAAGAGAGAAGAAGCTACGAGTACAAATACCACCGAAGTCCAACTTGGTGAACCATTGATACAGGAGTCAAAATGAGTCAAAGACAGCAGCATCACCAAAGCCCATCCCAGCACAGGTGACAGCTCACAAAGCTGGGAGCCTGCAGTCAGCTCAGCCGGTCAGAGAGTGTCCTTTCCAGGTGCCTCAGTCGGGCTATACCTCTTCAGGGCAGTCAGCTCTGTTGGTCTCTGCTGCTTGCATGGTTCTTGGCTGGTCTCTGCTTCCTCCAGACATGGGACTCTGCTGTTCTTCTTGTCTAAGGGGAAGGGCTCAGAATTCTGTTTGCCCTAGAAGAGAAGGGCCTAGTGAATCTATATGTTTCATGGGTTTCCTGAAGCTGTTTGAATTGTTTACTTTCTGCTTGAGCTTCTCCGAAGGATGGAGTGTTTCAATCTCAGAGGAACTTTGCCTTGATGTTGCTGAAAACTAGTAGAACACTGTACTTAATAGTTTGAGATTTGGGGGTGGGGGTGGGTTGTTACATCCAGGGGCAGAGGGTAAGTGCATATATAAGGCTTTGTTTGTTTGTTTGCTTGAGGCAGATCTCACTGTAGCTCAGGCTGGCCTCCAGTGGAACTTGATTTGCAGCTAAGGAGGACTGATAGGCAGCTGTGGTGTTCCTGCTACCACCTCTCAAGTGTTAGAAGTACAGTTTCACCACCACACCACCTTGGCCTTTTGTTTTGTTTTGTTTGAATTTATGAACCCTCTTTTGAGTCAGTGTCTCAGTGTGGCTTTTCTTCCATAAAGTTGGATTTGGTGGATGTGATCTAGAGATGGCAGTTCTCCTCACAGAAGACAGGGTCTATACTCTGTCCCTTTGTATGCTCTGTACTACTTCAGAAAAATTAGATTTGAAGGGAGAAGTCTGTTTCTCCTCCAGGTCTGGGGACCAAACTCACGGCCACTGCACATGTTTGGCAAGCCACTGAGTTACACTCTCAGCCAACATCCAGTCTTAAGTTTCTCTGTATTTTTATTAAATGGAAGTGAGTGAATGTTATAACTGAGATTTTAGTCTGTAAATAGAATTAAATTTTGCCTAGTTTTAATGTTTTGTAATTTGGTGATTCTACAGATACATGAAGAGATTAGACAAGACAGAGAACTCTTAAAATGTATAAGGCAAGAACATAACATTTCAGAAGTAATATTGTATCTTTTCTGAATTTATTAAAGAATTTTATTAAGATGAATCTTTGCAATGTAGCCCTTAATATATTCCTTTCTACAAAACCTTCAGTTGGTTTTTCTGCCAGTCTTAAGAGTTTTAAAATTCATGATAGTAAATGAGAGAATATATATTTTCTGTTTTCCAGTCAGTGTCCAGGCACTTTATCTCTTATAGGCAGTTTTCATTTTAGAACAGTATTTCGAAAACTAATCATTTGTGCTTCATCAATTAAGCAAATTTTAAGTGACAGTTAATTCTTTTTCAGACTCTAAAATATAGTTCAGCAAGTTGATAGTTTCTCTCTTGTTACTGATGGCTCCTAAGCAGACGGGGGAAGGAAGTGCTGCCATGGCAACCTAAGCCAGACGGTTTTTTTGAAACTGTACTGAAACTGCAAGTTCTCAGCTTTTACAATTTGCTGTTTCAAGGAAATAGCTTTTTCTACTGTGATGAAAAACAATTTTCAGACTTCCTACCATAGAATTTGAAAACAAATCTTAAACCAGTTTGTAGGAGCTATCCCTGGAATGCCAAGGTACATGAGTGGTTATTGACAAAATTGTCCTGGTCAGTGTATGAAAAATTACTTGTGTATATGAAACATAATTGAAACAAAAGATGTGTGTTGACAGTTTTATTTCCCAGTTGTCAAAACACATCTATCATTTTGTCTAAATGACTGAACAATGATCTAAGTTTAGTTTTTATCACTAAATCTAAAATTACATTTGTAAATCTTGACAAATTCTTGGAAAAACTTGTCAGTTGTTTTTTTTTTTTCCTTAGTTATTTTTGTTTGTTAGTTTTTGAGAAAGGGTGAGCACCGCGTGTGTGTGTGTGTGTGTGTGTGTGTGTGTGTGTGTGTGTGTGAATTATACAATGCACAGAACTCACTATGTAGACAAGGCTGACCTCGAACTTAAAGACAGTCCTCCTGCCTCTGCCTCCCAAGTACTTGGATCACACTACACTGGCCCTAATGCTTACTATCATTTCTGTGGTGCCTTGCCACTGAATGCCAGAGTGATGTCTTTCCTGATACCTCTGACCAGTCCTCCCTATGTGACTATGTAAGAGACATGCTTGATTTTCCTTTTTCTGCATGTCTCAGTTGCCAAGGTGTTGAAAATTGTTCTGTGTGTAGTGGGTGGGCTTTTCCATGGAAAAGTTTTTCCCCCTTTGTTAGTGTTTTGTTGTTGTTGTTGTTGTTGTTTGACACGGGGTTTCTCTGTGGCTTTGGAGACTGTCCTGGCACTCACTCTGTAGACCAGGCTGGTCTTGAACTCACAGAGATCCATCTGCCTCTGCCTCTCAAGTGCTAGGATTAAAGGCATGCTCCAGAAACACCCAGCCCCCTTTGTTAATTTTATCCCTTACTGCTTATCACCTAAACTTTTGTTAAATTTTACTTTTGTTCTTACTGGTTTGTTGTTGTTGTTTATGGGTTTTCAAGACAGGGTTTCTCAGTATAGCCTTGGCTGTCCTGGAACTCATTCTGTAGACCAGGCTGGCCTACTCACAGAGATCCTCCTGCCTCTGCCTCCTGAGTGCTTGGATTAAAGGTGTCCATCACCACTCAAACAGCATTCAATAAACATCCTGTGCCAATTTCAAAATATCCAGTTAATGTTCATTTATTTTGAACTGTGTCACTTGGATATGAATTACTATATTTAAATCTCATTACAACTCACCAAAGTGACATTGGATCTTTGTTTTACGTGTAAAATGTCTGACTCTCACATAACATGATTTGTCCAGTTCCACATGATCAGTCAGCAGTGATGAGTATCTTTTTTAAAAAAATTACTTATTATGTGTGTGAGTATATATACCTGTGTGAATACCAACAGACCGTGGTCAAAAAGGGTGGCATATCCCCCTGAACTGTAGTTATATGTGGTTGTGCACATGCAGTGCAAGTGCAGTACAGTACACTGTTAACTGCTAAACTGTCTGTCTCTCCAACCCCAGATCTTAAGTTTAAACTTGTGAAACAATATTTTTCATCATGCCATTTTATAAAAATGAGACTGTATTCAAAGATAAAAGATCTTAATAGTAGACTAATATTGTGTGGCAAAGAATTTAGGAATTAGAAGCAGTGTGGAGATAATCACATTAAAACAAGATTTTATGCCAGGGAGGGGCATGGGAAAAGGAAATAGTAAATTATAAAGAGCCTAGGATCAGTGAGATGGCTTAGAAGGAAAAGGCACTTCCTGCCGAGTCTGGGGGACCTGACTCTTGAGTTCTGAGATCCACTCAGTACAAGGAGAGGACGGATTCCTGCAAGCTTTTCTTCAACCCACACTCATGACTTCCCCCTCCCCCCCCAAAAAAAGCTTAAGTGTTATATAAACCTGGGTGTAATTAAGTTTGAACCTTTCTCATCTTGTGGTTAGAGCAAGTTTTCTGTGTTTCATGGTGACTACAATCAATCATGTATAGCAGGCTCACTTCCACTTTGGGGGGATGGGGAAGCAGGTATGGGTTTTGCAGCCGGCTAGCACTGTGCTGCATCTTCAGCCTTGGCATGTACTCAAAGGTGTGTGTGTGTGGGGGGGGGGTCCCCATATACTTTCAGAGCAGTCTGATAGATTGTGATGCATAGAAGTTCCAGGCTTTTAATTCTTGTACTCCCCCCCCCCCCCCTTAGGTGAATGGAAAAGGTTCCTTATGGTGTGTTGATCCAGAATATAAGCCCAACCTTATGCAGGCCTTGAAGAAGCAACCTTTTTCCTCTCCACAAAGGTAAGGGCTCTTGTGTGATTTAGATTTATTGTGTGTAAGATGGAGAAAACAAAGTTGTAGGGCCTTGTTTTATTTGTGTGTTTATTTAATTGTATAGAGAAGTATTTACAGCTAACTTTAACCTAAGGTATTTTCCTCTTGTTTAATTATTTTTTTCTAGAAAATAAAATGTTGGGAGATATTTGATTACACTGTGTAAAGCTAGGTCACTGTGATTGGTTCAATAAAAAAACTAAATGGCCAATAGTGAGGCAGGACATCCGGAGCCCTGGAAAGAAGGGAAGTCACCAGCAGATGCCTAAAAGGAATCAGAACATGCAGGAGGAGAGAGAGAGAGAGAGGTAACAGCCATAAGCTGTTATAAGATCTAGTTAGAAACAAGCCTAAGCTTTCTACTGAGCTTTCATAATTAACAAGAAGTCTCTGTTGTTATTTGGGAGCTGGCTGGTGAGACAAGAAAAAGACTCATTACACATGGTGCCCAACGTTGGGCACCAGATGTACCTAATATCTAAATTTTTCCAGTATAATAAAAACTTAGGAGTCAGAAATTGAGATAAAGACTTGGTAAATCAAAGGTCAGCAGAAAGTTAATTGACTGACCCTCCAGAAATCCTTTCTTCCCTTTTCCTGTTCTCTCTAACACACCTCCGAAATCTTCAAAGAACTCTGTGGCTAATCTCAGTCAGCCAATTGCTGACTCTGTCCTTTATTGGCACAGTGGGATGACTGTATGAACAGTTATCCCACAACAATAAAATGCTGGATGGTTGAATATAAATTCTCAGTACAGTATAAGTAAGCTAAATAAATTATATGACTTCAGTTTCAAAAGTACTAACTCATTTTAATTGTTTGCATGCTAATGTGACTTACACAATAAATTAAATGCAAATCTAAATTTTTAAAATAGGATGATTCACAGTGTGTAATCATACCATTTTTGATACACTGTTTAAGGTTTCTTTTTCTATTATGTTTTGCTTCATTTCATTTTGGTGAGATGTGTCTCATGTTGTCTTAGTTATTGTTCTATTTCTATGAAGAGGCACCATGCCCAAGGCAACTCTTGTAAAAGAAAACATTTAATTTGGGGCTTGCTTATACTTTCTGAGAGTTAATGTATTATCATCATGGCAGGAAGTATTGCACTTGATCGGTAGCTTAGATCTTTATGCCCTTATTATCCATAGGCAGCAGGCAAAGAGAAAGACTGTGCCTGGAATGAGCTTTTGAACATGAAAGCCCACTCTTAGTGACACTCCTCTTTCCAACAAGCCTCCTATGGGGCCCAAAAATCATCACACAGCCCAGGCTAGCCTGAAGCTCAGTGTAACCCAGGCCAGCCTTAAACTCATTGGAATCCTGTCTAACCTTCCCAGATTGAGGAATCTTTTTTGTAAGGAAATCTTAAGAATCTTAAAATTCAAAAAGAAAAAAAAAAAAAAGGCCCTTCGGTGGTGGCGCATTTCTTTAATCCCAGCATTTGGGAGGCAGAGGCAGGCAGATCTCTGAGTTCTAGACCAGCCTGGTCTACAAGAGCAAGTTCCAGGACAGCCTCCAAAGCCACAGGAAAACCCTGTCTCTTTAAAAAAAAAAAAAAAAATTCATTTGTGTTGGAATTTGCCTTGTTTGATGCTTAATTTGTTTTTCAAAAGTCTGAAAGGTTATTAATAACTTTCAAATACATACATGAGGAGAAAATTAAAATAAATTTAAAAAAATTTGACTGCAACAAATTCAGAATTTCACATTGTAGTTCATTTGAATTCTTGAATCGTTATTAATGAAAGATTGTAATTGAATGTAGTTAAAGACCAAGAAAGTGAGATTGAAATGTCAGTAGTATTACCTTTTTGGACATTATATCAGTATATATCAGTCATTGTAAAAGGAACCAGTAGGTAGGTAATGTATCCTTATGAAACAGAATTTTAAAAGAAATGATTGATTGCAGCCAAGCATAGTGTTACACACCTTTAATCGAAGAACAAGAAAGCAGAGGGAGGCAGGTATCTATGAGTTCAAGGCCAGCCTAATCTACATGGTGAAACCCTATCTCAAAAAAAGAAGGAAAAAAAGAACAGAAAAAGTCGGTTTCTTAGTTAATGTTGGTGCTTATGAGATATTCTATTTAAATAATACTAGAGAGAGAAAGGACATATCTTTAACATTTACTTACATGACTTAATTTAGCTATGCTCTTAATTAAGGATGAAATGGGGGATTGGCACTGTCCTTTGTAAGCCCCCACAAAGCACATTTCACTGTATCTTTATGCTATGCATTCACATTTGTATCTTTAGGCTTACTATAACTTAAGGTGTTAGAAGGGATTTTACAGGTTTTTTTCTTTTTGTTTTTTTAGTAAATAACAGCATGAGGGTTATCAGTTGTTGGCTTTAAAACCTTAATAAATTGAAAACATTATGTTCATTTTGTTGACTCCTGACATGTTTTAGTGTAACCCTCCTATAATTTGTAAGTCTGGGGAAAAGAATGTAGAATATGTAAAAACTGGATAGGAAATAAGCTTTCTAATTTCATTCTAAAAGATTTTTCCTACTCTCACAAATAGAATTGCTCCCCCCAAAAAAGTTTTACTTTTTGTACTTAAAAAAACCTGGAAACTTAACTCTGTGGCATTATTATATAAAATTTTTCCTTAAATGTTTTTGATAAATTCTTAGTGTTAAACTAACAGCTATTAGTATTGTATCATATTTAAATAATTCTTAAACATTTATTGTTCAAGGCATTTAAAATACATTATATAACTGGTGCAAAAATACTATATAAGAATATAAGTTTCTGTTTTACAAGTGAAGAAATTAAGAGATAAATAATTATTTTTAATTATCTTGACCCTTGCTCACTTTATACTTTAGCAGCTCTTTCTAACCTGAGTGCTATTAGCAAAGAAAACAAGGTAACCCTCATTTGTTGTGCTTTTGGGGTACATACTACAGATGTGCTTTTGGCTGGGGTCTATAGAAACGGATTTGATAAGCGTCTGTCTTCCCTCCCTGTTTTTTAGTGGCTCTTTATCGCCTCACTACCTGAACTCTGTTCTCAAGCAAAGTCAAGTGCAAACTCTTAAAGGTATGTATAAAGACCATTCTACTGAATCATGATCTCCTGTCATTGAAGACTTAAGGAATAGGTTTCTAAAGAGAAAGTTATCATCTACCAACATTTGGTGTGATGAATATTTGCATGTTTTTCTTTAGTGACTCTGTGTAGGCATTTTATGTGCCTCTTCATTGCTCTATGTGTTAATTCTTTATGTGTATCCTTCCTTGAAATCTCATTTAATTTCTTAGTAATATCATTGAAGTTACTCTTGCCTGTTATTATGTGGCCCATGATAACTTTACATTTATGAAATGAAGAGAAAATAAAACTAACAATATTTTGAGACATAGTGTCTGCTGAATAGCAGTAGGATCTGCTACAGCAGCAACTACATATCCTCCTTTGGTTTTGCTCATGGCTCTTTGCTAAAGAATTTTGCCATCCCTTAGATTAGGATGTAGTTCAGAATATTTTCATAGGTTATGTCTGAAAGGCTTTACTTTAGACTGATGACTTCTTTTAAAGGAGTCTCCCCTTAATGTTTATGGCGTTTTCATATTTTAGTGGTTTTTGGTTAATCTTCCCTTTTATTTGCCTTTGTCCCCCATCCACTTAAACTCTTCCATCCTTGGTGTTCCCCTTTTCTTCTTTTTGTGTTTTGTTTGTTTGTTTTTTTGAGACAGAATCTCTCTATGTGGCCCTGCTGGCCTGGAACTCATGGAGACTCACCAACTTCTTCTGCCTCCGCAGAGGTGGGATTAAGGCTGTGCCACCGTGCCCTCCCTGCATCTCCACCTTTGTGTCAACATCACGTTTGTTACTCCCTCCATCGTTCTCTCTCACAGCCACTTTCACCTTCTCCTGGGGCCTTTCCAGTGTCCAGGCATCTACACTGTCATTCACACAGGTACACACAACACAGATGAACATGCTCTGTTTCATTCTTCTCAACCTGGGTTACCTCACTTAATACAGTATTTTCCACTTCCATCTGTTTTCCACAAGTTGCATCATTTTATTTTTCTTCGCTGCTGAGTTGTGTATATGTACCTCATTTTCATTGTCCATTCATCTGCTGCTGGTAGACAGATGTCTAGCTGATTCTGTTTCTTTGCCATTGTGAATACAGCAGCAATGACATAGTTGTATAGGTATTTTAGTAGTAAAATATGGGGTCCATTGGGTATCTACCCAGGATGTGAAAGCTGGGTCATACAAATTTCTCTCTCTAGTCTTTTGGGAAATTCCTACACTGATCTCCATAGTAGCTGCAGGGATTTATACTCTTAACCAATAGTGAATAATGGTTATACTTTCTCCTCGTCCACCAACATTAGCTTCTGATCCTTCCACTTCCACCTCCAAAGTTCTGGGATGACAGATGTGCACCACCTTGCCAAGTCTATTTTGTTCTGAGGCTTCATTCCTGCTGGGCAAATATTGTGCCAGTTGATCTAGATTCCCAGTCTTCCTGGCTCATTTTCTGATTTGGTTGGTTGTTAGCCTTATCTGCTGTGGGTGGAGAAGTTGTTTAATTTCCAGAGTTGCCCTGTGTTGGTTGTTGGTCTTCTTCCCTTGACTGGAGTCCTGTTCAGAAAGTCCCCAGCTGTGCTTGCATCTCCAGGTGTTTGTTGCCCTAGTCTCTCCTCCAGCAGCTCAGGATTGTCTCTTTTCTGAAAGTGCTGAGGGCTAAAGCCTTATGCATGTTGGCCAGCTCCATACCAGAGTAACACCCCCCACCCTCAACTCTTAATTAGTGGATTATCTCCTTGCTCATAATCAATAGGTAAATTAGCACACTGAGTTTCTGTAGTGTTGTTATTTCAATTCTTAAAACATTTCCATGTGCTTCAAAAATGTAAAACCTCACAGTAAATCCTTGTGCTTGTTAGATATTTTGGTTCCTGGAAGCTTACAAAGCTGAGCTTTGGGGTTACTGTTCTTCCAAAAAAATAAGGGAGGGAGAAGCTTCTGGGGAAACTTTGCAGAGAAATTTAGTGGATGGGAATGGGTTGCCTCCAGGAAAGCCGGAGTCTGTTTTCTGCTGCATGCATGAGAAGATGGCCTCTCCCTTACCTTTAGGCCTTGCTGAGACACTTTTGTCTTTCTGTATCCCAAGTAACTTGTGAATCTTACCCTTGATCTCACGTCCTGTAGATTGGGAGACATGCTCTGTGAGTTCTGAGATTTCTTAGACTCTCTTCTTGCTCTTACTTCAGTGCATCCAGATTTGGTTGCTTCCTATGGAGACATTCCCTAGTTCCGGCCTGTTTTCTGTTCCTTCCTGTGATTGATGGCCTGTTTATCATGTCTCATCTCTTGCTACCATCAGCTTCCTTTTATCCCTTGCTTAGGAATTATGAGGCCTATTCCCCTAGCCACAGTGAGTTAGGTGAGGAGGATCGATATTCTAGATGAAAATGGTTCTAGGCCTGTTCTGGACTTTAACACAAAATTCTCCTGAATTTTAGGAGTCAAAACATAAGAACTTTTTAAAGTTCATATTTAAATTTGGTTGGTTAGGGCATATTTATAAACTGAGAAAATTTGCCCCCCCAATTGTTTCTGGAGAGGTTTGAAAAATAACCAAGTAGGTGAAACATTGATCACAAGTGATTAATGAATTCCTATATTGTGCCAGTACTGCCCAAGGTGCCTTGAGATCTGGGAAGGTGAGATTCGGGCTGACCTGCTCCCAGAAATGTTTCTCCAGAGATGTTGCTTGGTAATAGAGTGTTTGCTTCACATGGAAAGAGCCCTAAAAAAAGAGAAAGAAAAAAGTAGGTGAACTGAAAAAGGTTGACTTTTGGGATTATGCAGAGGAAGGAGATAGTGAGTATGGCATTAATCTGGGCAGAAAGGCTCTTTTAAGAAAGAAATGAGCTCGTGGTGGTGGTGCACATCTTTAATCCCAGCACTCAGGAGGCAGAGGCAGACAGATCTCTGTGAGTTCAAGGCCAGCCAGGTCTAATACAGAGAGACAAGTCCCAAACAAACAAGAAAAAAAGAATGAGTGAGCCTGTGCTCGAATGATGCACAGGCTCCTCAGGTATTCCATCTTCAGAAAGGAACTGAGCCTCACAAACAAGGTTGCTTCATCTCTGAGGATGGGTTGATGCAGAACATGCAGAGTTATAGGACAGGATGCTAGCATTAAGGAAGTTGTCTGGTCATTGCTAGGCATCTGGCAAGCCTACTGATGAGTGTGACTGCAGCCTCAGTGTGTAGGAGAGGACTATGCACATACCATTGTTTGTCTCTTATGTGGACAAAGGGAAACAGAGGCATCAGGTGTGTGTGGGAACAGCTGCTTTCAGTGCTCACTGTGGTACCTGCAGCATCCTCATTCAACCCTTTGAGATGTTTCTACACTTTAAAAAGTAAACAGATACGGGGAGTAAACTTTGGAGAGATTTTAAAGTGGTAAGTGGCATAGAGGGATTCAGATCCGAGGTTAGAAGCTTGTGGCCTGTGCTTCTTCCTTCCAGCTGAGAGGCACTGAAGAAGCTGCTGAAGGCTTCAAATAATGAGGTTAAAATACTAGTTTTGTTTTACATCCTGTTAGGCTCTAGAATTAAAACACATTCATCTGGCCCTTCATAGAATCACTTTCCTGACCGTTATATTAAGCTACCATTAGACATGTAAGGGCAGAGGTTAGTTGTGGGAACCTTAAAAGCTCTAATCAGCAGAACTGGGGCAGCATAGTGAAAAGCACTGCTGAGCTACACACAGACAGTGAGGAAAACAGAAATGAACTCATTCTGGTTACCAAGTTTCAGTGTTTATTTTACTACACATAAGTATGTCATTTGGCAGTTGGTGCTGATGTTAAAGGTTAAGTGCATTCTAATTACAAATTGATGGTTGCAGATTGGCATCTTTTTAAGGTTAAAAATGAAAGTAAACCAGTGGACCAGGTAAATTAAAATATCAGTAGTTCTAATGAGTTTGCTGCCTTGCTTAAAGAGTTCTTTCTAAAGAGGCAGCTTCTCCTTTTGGATAACTTGTAAGTGTATGTGTTCATTTAGATAGAGGGGGTAACTTCTTCTATAATTATTACTAAGCCCAGAGCCATTTAAATATGATTTGATTATTCTTATATTTAAGCATATGGACTGAGAATCAGACAAATATTGCTAATAATTTCCCAAAATGAAGAAAATTAAGAAAGCATAACTCAAGAGAAGAAGTTAGCAGTGTGGCCAGGCAAAGTGTTTCATACTTGTAATCTCATCAGTTGGAAGCCTGAGGCTAGAGAATTGCTGAAAAATTGAAGTTAGCTTAGGCTATACAGTAAGACTGTTTTGAAAGACATAAAGAAAGGGGCAGGGAGTAGAGAAAGGAAATAAACTGTTTTGATGGATTGCTATTTGACCCAGTTATGAAATCAGTAGTATGTCTTGATTATAAGTGATTTGAGCATCAAATTGTGGTTTACCAATAAGCTAGACATGCTGCTGTATAATGTAGCTAACGGCATTGCAGCTTTTCAGAAACGCCACCTTTTAAGTAATGTAAGCACTCTGAAGGAAAAAATAACATTATAAAGTATTTTCAGTTGTCACAAACAAATACAGTCATATATTCTGTTTAAATTTAACACCAAAACTGACTAATTGTACCATCAATAAAAATTGTCTGTAGTTGTTAAAAGAAGTTCAAGATTCTACTCTGGGCAAATCCCTGCTAAATGTGTTCTTGGATTCCATGTTTTGGACTTTTAATGTTGAAATTAAATTGTTTCAGAATTAATTATCAAAATATGACAGGAAACCTTTTTTCTTAAAGAGTGATTGCTGCTCTTTTGTGGACCCAAGTTTAGTTTTCATCAACCATCAGATAGCTCACGATCACCTGAAATTCCAGTGCTAAAGATCCAACACCCTCCTCTGGCTTCAGCAGGCACCCTTGTACATGTGTGCATACATAAATAAAAATAATATTTTTAAAAAGAAATGCAAATACACACTAACTTTAAATGAGAAACATTTTAGGTGTCTTCTTCATAGATGATAAAATCCCTGTAATTTTTCTTTCACTTTTAAATAAAATTGGAAACAAGATTAGATCCTCTCTTATGGAGAGAAATTATTTATGAAATAGTAGTCCTGCTAAATTGTAACTTGTGCCAGGACACGTGGCTGGGATGAGTGGGCTTTGAAATACAGCCCACTTACCTTCTTTGAACTGTTGTCTACAGTTGGGAGCATTCACTTGGAAAACTGCTTCCCTTTTCCCATTTCACAGTATGATAATATGTAGTAGCTGCATTTTTTCTTTTTTCTAAAAACATGTTGAACTCTATCAAATTGTCTCAAGAGATAGGAATTGGAGACCTGTTTTCCCATCTTCTCCGTTGTGACCAGTGGCCTATCGGTTCATTTTCTGTGCTTGTCCTTTGGACATCCCCAACCTCCCTGAGTGCTCCATTCAGCTCTTAACCTTCTCCACTTTTCCTCCCTTGTACTTGTCACTGCTGAAATGTTTTGTGTCCCTATGGTCTGAGAGGTGACAGTTGTTTCTTTTGTCTGCGGTATTTTCAGTCTGGAATAGTGTTAGGGTTACAGTAGGGCACGCAGCTTATTGGATGAATAACAGAAGGGAGACTGCATTGTTGTATTCTACAATTTCCGCTGTAATCCTGGACACTTATTGAGGAGGAGTGCTAACCCTTAACACTTGCATTCCAGGGGCCCATCGCTGAAACACAAATCCCACATGATATTTAGGGAGCCCCTCCGTTTGTTTGTTTGTTTTTGAGACAAGGTCTCTGGGCTAGAACTCATCTTCTCTGCCTTTGGAAGACTAGAATTGCAGGCAGGCACTATAGCTCCTGACATGGGGGACATCCATGAACTTGTTATTAAAACCCAACGTGTTAATATAGGCCAGGTCTGGTGGTTCATGTCTTTAATTCCCAGTATTCAGGAAGTTGGGGCTGGAGGAACGCTAGTGCAAGGCCAGTCTGGGATTTATATATAGACTTTTGTCTCCCAAAACAAGTAACAACAGACCTGTAATATTGCAGAATGTTGGGGAGAAAACAAGTCGGTATCTGCAATGTTCATTGTCTATAGTAACAGAAAGTCAGTTAAAACAAGGAAGTCAGCATTTTCAAGGTTTATTGTAGTAGTAATAGAAAGTCAGCTAAAGCAAGGAAGTTGGAAAGCTTTCTAGTGTAAACATTTCCAATTTTAAGATATAATGGATGGAAACTTCATGTCTAGATCATGTTTTAAGTTTATCTTTAAGCTAAAGTTTATAATCATTGTTTGCACCATTTTGTTTCTTCGAGTAGTTATTTGGATGAGTATCACCAAGAGGAAGAAAAACTTCCCTGTGTAGATGTGATAGCCTGGAGGGTTTATCTGGGTAGAATCTTCTGGTTACCATATTTGTTTGTATATGCTGTGTGGTCGTGGGCTCAGTCAGAGAACAGTTTACAGGAGTTGCTTCTCTCCTTACTTACCACATGGGATCCTGTGATGTGACTTAGTCAGACTTGGCAGCAAGCAAGTTTTACTTTACCTTCTGAGCTGTCTTGAGATCTTATTTATGCATTTGTGAGACAAGATTTCTCATTGTATCCCAGGCTAGTCTGGAATTCATGATTCTTGTGCCCCTGTCAGAACACCCAGCTTGAGGTCATTCTGTAAACCCTGGGTAGAGGCATACCCCTTAATCCTAAACCCCAGAGGCAGAGGACCAGGGCTCTTAGGCTAGCCTGTGTGACATGGTGATGTCCTGTCTCCAGACAGACAGACCAAGTTTATAGTACTGAAGCTGAGAGAAAAGAGGGTGTGTAGGGTGCTTTCTTAAAAGGACAGAGCATGAGCCCCAGAATCTACTGGAAAAGCCAGGTGCTTGTAATTCAGGTTCTAGGGAGGTGGAGGCAGAATTACTGGGGCTGCCTTACTAATCGGGCTAGCCTGCTTGGCAAGTTCCAGACAAATGAGATACTCTGTTTCAACCCCCAACCCAAAAAAATACCCCAGAGAATCTAATGGCCTTGAATGGAACGGTCTCTGCAGGCATCAGACACATGCATGTAGGCAGAACAAACACACACACAAGATAAAATACTTGCTCAAAAATTGTTGATAACAGCTCTTTGGTTTTGGTTGTGAGCTTTAATGACTGAGCCATCTCTCCAGCCCCAGGTTGGTTTTGAACTCACAGCACCACTATCGGCCTCTGCTTCCTAAATACTGGGAAGGAAGGGGTCTGTTACAACTCTAGGCCACCTAAGTCCTATTGCTGACATTTTTGATACTAATGCTACCTCTCTTCTCTGTTTTCAGAATCTGATATTGATGCTGCCACTGCAATGATACTTTTAAATACTTCAATAGAACAAGAGATTTTAGAATGTAAGCAATCATCATTTTCTTTTTAAAATAAATTTTATAAGTGCCTTTCCAAGCTAATGATTTCAAATACAAGATGGCTAAATGACATAGCAGAATTACTTCTTTTCCACTAAATGGTGTTTTAATCAGAATGACTCAGTTTCTGTTGTATTGTATTTCTATTTATATAATCATTTGAAAAAATGAAGGCAATGTTGTGGAAGATTGTTGTGTTGATTCAAGAAGTGGAGGGGAAAATATTCTTCACAAGTAAGGTTGTGAAGAGCTAAAAGTAAAGTGAGAGTTACAGACTCACTGTGGGACGTTTATCATTTGGACTAGTGGGATGGGTAAACGTGGGTAAAAGTGCTTGCCATCAAGCCGGATCCTGGTTCAGGTCCTGGGACCTGTGCAGTAGACTAGGAGAGCTGATTCTCAGGGGTTGTCCTCTGACTTCCATACACAGGCCCGGAGTATACAAGACATATACACAAAATAATTTTTAAAGGATATTTGGAGTTTGGAATAGGAAAAGTGTTAAGCTACAAATTACAAACTCCATAAGGAAAAGGTGGACAGATTCAATTATAAAGTTCTTTGATTGGGGCTATACTCCTATAATCTCAGCACCTGGGATGTAGGGCAAGAAGACCAAGGGTCATCCTTGGCTAGATAGCAAGTTTGAGACCAGCCTGGGATACAACGATCTTGTTTCAAAACAATGTGGTCAGTAAGAGGTTGGGAGGCTGGGGCTTTAGCATGTGTAGGAAGGCTTGCCTAGCATGTGCTAGGTCCTGGGCAAGTTTGACCCTAAGATCTTGTTTCAAAACAATGTGGTCAGTAAGAGGTTGGGAGGCTGGGGCTTTAGCATGTGTAGGAAGGCTTGCCTAGCATGTGCAAGGTCCTGGGCAAGTTTGACCCTAAGCACCACAGAAAAGATAAGAGAAGTAATGCAGAATACTGGGAGAATTTTTTAACTATGTTTAATAGATAAAGGATTAATATCATGTCTGTAAAAGGCCTAACAAGTAAGAAATAAGCAAACAGGACCCACAGCTGCCACACTAGTCAGGAATTCAGTCTCCAGGATCTGTGGGGAAGAGAGAGCAGAGCGTCTGAGGTAGAGGTAGTTGAAGTCATTGGTTTTCAGGTAACAGTATTGAGACAGATATGAACTTAAAAGAGACTGGCAACATGCTTGACTGATTCAAAACAGACAGAATCCCAGCACCAAGGGGAAGTGGGCACAGAGTTCCCCCAACTGAAAAGCCATCGGCAGTTGATACTTGCTGAAAAAGGAAAAGCTGTCTCTTCAGTCCTAGGCTCCATGTCCAGGAGTAGTGCTTTTACTTTTTTATTTTAATTTTATTTTTTTTTCTTACTGGATTTGTTTGGTTTAGTCAGACCATTTTGATTTTAGTTTTTTGTATTTTGTTTTTATGGTTTGAGAGAGAGAGAGAGAGAGAGAATTTAAGGCTAAATTAAATTGGGTGGAGAGGAATTAGGAGAGGGGAAAGAATGTGATAAATGTGTATTGTACTAAAAATATTTAAATTAAAATCATTTTAAAGTAAAAAAATTAAGAACAGGGGAGCAGAAAAGTCAGCAAAATATATGGAAGTGATTCTCAGAAATATGGGGAGATGCAAAGTAAATTTAAGATACTGCCTTTAGTTTAGGAAACAAAAAATGTAAATGATAGCCAGTGTAGTGTGAAAGTAGGTCCATTGTTACCTACTGTTGATCAGTTGTTACGGCCCCCAGGGTAATTTGAGCGCACTTGAATTTAAAAAAGATTTACCTTGTTACTCAGCCTTTATATTTCTTACCATCCCTCCTACAAAGAGTGTGTGAATGTGAGTGTGAGTGAGTGTGACTGTGTGTGGAGGGGGTATCCACATTTCATTGCTGCAGCATTACATGGACCACTACAAACTTGGGAACAATGTAAATACCCCCAAGGAAATTGTCAAGCATTCGTGCAGTCATACTGAGACATTCTTTGCAAATAGTGCAGAGTAGCTTTTATGTTCCATGGAAAGACAGGCTATCTTTCCAGTGGTTTTTGAATATTTTAAAGTCTATAGATGAAAAATATATGAGGGAAATCCTACAACACTACAAATTCCAAGCTCTTAGTACTCGAAAGTGAGAGTTTTGGAGGGTGATCTGCTTTTGCAGTAAATACCTTTGACTTGTTGATATGAGTTCTGTTTCCCACAGGTGATAAGCCTCTGCCTCTTAAACCGTCACTGCAGAAGAAGAGGGGTTACGGCATTGCGTTCAGTGCCCCCGGCGCTGTGCAGCTACAGGAGAGCCATTCTCCAGCAGCCAGCATCGACCCGAAAGCAGACCATAATTACAGCGCCAGTAGCATGGCAGCTCAGCGCTGTGCATCCAGGGCCAGTGTGTCTTCCCTGTCTTCTGTGGATGAGGTGTATGAATTCATCCCAAAGAGCAGCCACGTGGGAAGTGATGGCAGCGAGGGTTTCCACAGTGAAGAAGACACAGATGCCGATGAGGAGGACGATCCTCTTGGAGACAGTGGCTATGCAACACAAGCTCACGAAGTCAACGCTCCAAAAGGACAGCCAGGCAAAAAAATGCGAAAACAGTCCTGTCAAGAAATTGATGAGGAACTCAAAGAAGCAGCTGGGTCACTTCTCCACCTTGCTGGAATCCGTACCTGCCTTGGTTCCCTTATAAGTACTGCAAAGGCACAAAGTCACAAACACCGGAAAAAGTAGTACTTACTAGTGTGAAGTTACTTTAAAGTGTGGCAATACTCTTCTACTTAACTCTTTACAAGGGATGTCAGAGCCATAGAGGACCTCTTTAGCTTGACAAAGATGGGTGGGGGAGGAGTGCCACTTGTTTCCTCCTAAATACTTTTTGGTTGCTTTTCTTTTCTGTTTTTTGTTTTGTTGAACAGTTGCTCTTAGGATCATGCCTAATTGTATAAATCTGATACAAAGGCCCCCAAAACATAATTTCTGTGAATAAGCGTCTCTCAGATTTGGAAATTTTTGTCTAAGAAAATTCTCGGCCTCTGTCTTAAACTTGTAGGAAAAAAAAAGATCAATCTCTTGTTAATTGGTCAAAAATATAAAAATTAGTAACTCAGTATTTTCATTTTTCTCCCCATTCTGTAATTACCTGTAGTTACTCATGTAACTAAGCATATACTGGCATCTTTCTCTGTCTTAAACTTGTAGGGGGAAAAAAAAAGATCAATCTCTTGTTAACTGGTCAAAAATAGAAAAATTGGTAACTCAGTATTTTCCTTTTTTTTTCTCCCCATGTAATTACCTGTAGTTACTCATGTGACTACACATAATGCTGGCATCTTTCTCATGTGCTCCTCTCCTGACACAATCCAGAGGTGAAATGCACATCTTTTGTCTTATTCTTGTTTTAAATTATTCTTCGTTGCAGCATGAGCTTGGCCAAATATAAATGGGAAAGCTGCCTAGAAGGTTCTCTGGTTTGTAGAGAATACAGCTGTAAGGTTTGGGAAAGGCCATTGGGGGTGGTGGTGTGTGGCTCATCTCAAGACTCCAATTCCTGTTGCAATAGTATCTTTGAAATGTTTTTACCTCACAGTTATTGCATAGCATCACTGGGGCCTTTACCCTTTTCCATCGTACTTTGCAAATGTTTAAGTTTTAGCAGCTAGCTGTCTTGGTTAAGTAAAGATTCTCCAGCAAGAGGATACAGCCAGAAAGAGCCTCTTGCATTGGTTTTCTAAGCATAGTGTAATGAGATGTTGTGAAGATACATTATGACATCATAAGTAAAAGTAGGTCATTGAGGACAAAACTTTCCAAGCTTTGTATAAATTAAAATTATATGTGTAATGAATTAGATTTAAAACATTTGATAGACAACTGTAGAGATCAATATCTTCAGGGATTTCAAACTATGTATAAAAATTAGATCTTACACAAATCTTTTTGAGAGGCATTGTAATACCTATATGTGCCATTAATCCATACTAAAAGATTTTATATTACTATTCCAAAAGTGCATTGGCTAAGATATTTTAAGTATTTAAACAAAACTGCTTATAGGAGACAGTTTTCATATCACAGTTTGACTATAGTGTTCAGAACAGAAATACTAATACTGTAACTCACAAATATATTTTTTTACAGTGGTGCGAGAAACTTTGGGAAAGTTTAGTCTTATTTCATGATACAACCTGTATCCTAGGCAGTGACCTTTTTTGCATTTTTCTAATTTATATGCATATATACACTTGCTGTATGCACACATACACAGGCTCAGGTCACTTTCTTGCTTTCAAATGTTTTTATGACTATAAAGCATTTTCTTGGGATTTTTTTAATGTTTACTTTTAATTTTATTTGGGCAAAACTGTCAAATGAGAAGAAAAACTAAAGCATGTTTCTTAATTGACCACAGTTTAAGCTATAGCAGCATTGATACACTCCTGTTTCCATGTTAGTTGCAATTAAATCTGGTTAGCCGCATTAATGAAATGGGTGCTAATAAAATATTGACATTTTTCTTTTATTGATAATTCAGGATGAGGAATTTGAAATTTTTCTAACTCAAAATGTCATCTCTCCAAGAAAACAGCCAAGTGAAGTTAGTCTCTTACTGCAGTGAATAAGACACCAAATAAAAGTATGGTTTTACCATGGTGTATATCATAAAGAGATTACAAAGCTCAGTTGAATAGCACAGTATTTTGAAGCTAATCACCATGGCCCTCTGGATTGGCCTTGCACAGTATCCAGGACCAGGTCATTGCACCCTGCTCTGAATTTCCTACCACAAGTGTTTCTCTAAGTTCCTGTCTATTAGCTGTTCTGTAAGTAGAAGCAATGATCTGAAGTAGGAGGAAAGCGTTATTCCTAGCTATAAGAGATCTCCTCAGATGCCTATTAGGCAGTAACTTAAATTCTTTTTTTTCCCCCCTCTCTTCAGTGGACTATTATTTAAAGCTGTAGCCATTAGCAAGGATGATACCTGGCCTGTGCACCTACAGCAGAGTTCCCCAGCATTTTGCACTTAGTTCTTGTATGGATTTCGGTGCCTCGATTTCCATGTGCTCTTGTGTCTGGGCATCTATTTCAAGAGGAGAGCCTTCTTCATTCTGGCCCCTTGTGATGTCCTCGGGACCATGCTCCTGCTTGAAATGCTCAGATGGGAGATGTAGCTGGAAGCTTCCAGTTAAGGAAGTCCTTCTAAACCTCATGGGCTGGAAATTCCCAATAATTAACACACTTCGTGTAATAAACATGACCTAGAAACCCAGGGACAACATACATGTTTCAGCATATTAAACGTGTTTTAGCTAAGGTATACTTCGTCTTACATCAAAATAAGAATTTGGTTGCAACCTGTTCCAGTTTTAATGGGTCCCCCCCATAAAAGCTGTATCTTGGCACTATTATCTTTATTTTCCACATCGCCGAGAGAATCAGTGTTTCTTGAATACATCTTTGAAATTTGTGCAATATATTACTAAATTAGTTGATCTTTTGCTTTTTAATTCAGAAAGAAAACATTGCCTAGATCAATAGAAAAGCAAAGGGTATGTCACTCCCTTCTCACCTAGTACCCTTGCCTGTTCTCTCTTAACCTTTGTATATTGTAAAGTTCAGCGCATTTTTTTTTTTTCACTGTTTGCTGAGGCATTTGTAAAGGGTTCATACTAGATAGTCAGTTAAACACACGTTACGCAGTTGAAAGCTAGAGCAAGTGTTAAGGGAATGTTGTGTCTCTGCAGACTGAGAGGCCTTTCAGAACAACTTGGGCTGCAGGTGGGAGTGTTCCACAGAGCCTCAAGACTGTTAGCCAAAATAGAAGACTACTTTAATACCCTTTGAAAACGAGCATTTTCTAAAGCAACTTCTGAGGCTTTCCAGTTTACATGTATGTCATAGGTTTTTGGTTGTTTTTTTTTTCCCCCCCCTTTGAAATGTAAGTTTACTCCAATGTGTTAATGATGTAGTCAAATATTTATTGAAAGGCAAAATAGAGTATTTTAATGTTATACCTGCCATTTTTCAAGAACATTCTTTGCATCTAACTGCCAGTGCCATTGTCAACCTTGTTTTCAAAATTGTACTTTTTTATTAAACAAAGTGCTTAATTTTAAAAGTATTATGTGGCCATCATATAGTGTATAAAATGTATAATTGCCAATTCATTGTAACTTATTTATTTTTAAACAAAAGTATAAGAATACTTTTTGATTAATTAAAGAAATTTGTTATTAAATTGTTTCCTCTTTTCTAATGTAGCATAAAAACTTATGAGTTTAACTGCCAATAGATGACCAGCCATGAGTAAGTCACTTCTCAGTTGCCAGTCTTTGCTCTTAGTAAAACAACTTACAAATGTTTAGTTTTTGTATCTAATCTGACTATTAAAATGTTTATAAAGTTTATTTTTACCAAAGAGATGCAATTCATTATGATAAAGTTGCAAAGTAAACGTCATTTTGTAACATGTTTTTTTGTGCTTTCTCTGTTCTTTTATTCGAGGCCTGGTGTAGGTGAAACCTTTCCATTTCAAGCATTTTTTAAAAGTTTTGATTTTTAAAAGATTTGTGTGTATGTGAAATTATTGATGCTTGCTTGTATGAGGAAACTGGAGGTCTTGAGTAGTTCAAAATTGGTTTTAGCCACTTTTGAAAAGCAACATGGACATTTCTCAAGAAAGGTAAAATAAGGTTATTGTAAGAATTGGAATTTCTCAAGTTATGGGTACAGCCATGAAGGAGATAAAAAGATGCCCATCACTAGCCTGGCCAATTTCATTTTGCTCTTCTCTGGTTGTTCTTTATTTACTGCCTTTTCATTTGCTTAGTTTGCTTGGCTTCTTCATGGCCAGGGACTCACTAAGCCTGACAGGTCAAATCACCCCCAAATGAGAACAATCAACCTCCGTGCTGCCCTCAGAGCAAGGGTTATCTTCTTATGGTAATTGGTCCCCTTTGTGATACCAGCTTTGCCAGATCACTTTGCAAGATCAATGTCCACCAGGGATGCCTGATCCATCCCCCTTTGTCCCCCTTTCCTATAGAATCTATCAGTTTCTGTTAGCACCTTTAAGACAGACTGGGGATGTCACTAAACCCCTTAACCTGTTTTTCCTAACCTGACCACACAGTGTGCCCTTCACTGCTCTCATGACTGATGAGGACTGGGACAAGTATCTAGGAACTTAACCTGTTGAAACTGGAAGAGCCAGGACTTCTGTCCTGAGACACTGGTAACATTGACAGCAACATTATTCACCAGAGCCAGAGCTACATAGCGACAGATGAATAAATAGGGAAAATAAGAAACATTCCGTTAAGCATTCTTAGCAAGGTAGGAAATGTGATTCTTGGCCACTTAGAGAAGTCATGCCAAATTGAACTTGCAAGCTGTAACATAAAATACTGAATATTTCCACCTGGACAGTGTACCTATAGTAATGGTTGCTAAGAGATTGGAGATGGGGATGGAATTGTTTAATATGCACAGAGCTTGGGTTTTGGCAAAGTTGATTTTTTTTTTTTAATGTAATAGCCCTGAAAAGACAGGAGGAAAAACAGATGTATCTTAGTAAGTAAAGGAAACCAATGTGAAACATGCAGTGGTGGTGCACACTTTAGTCCCAGCATTCAGGAAGCAAAGACAGGTGCATCTCATTGAGTTTGAGGCCAAACTGGTCTACAGAGTGAGTTCTAGGACAGCCAGAACTACACAGAGAAACCCTGTCTTAAAAAACAACAAAATGCAGAGGCAGGCAGATCTCTGTGAGTTCAAGGCCAGCCTGGTCTCCAGAGTGAGTGCCAGGATAGGCTCCAAAGCTACACAGAGAAACCAAGAAAAAATCAAAATACATGAGGGATAGTCTCCCAGCCTAAACACACGGGGTGGGGGTTGTCTAGGCCCTGTTGCAAATGATACGACATCCATGGGGGCCAGTGGGGGGCAGGGGAGATTGACATGTAAAAGAAGCTTGTTTCAAACTTAAAAAACAAAAACAATCTGGACAGGTGAGTATTGTGATTCCAACAATACGACATTCTGGGAAAAGCAAAACTAAGTAGATGGTTGTAAGATCAGTGGTTGAGGGAGGGAAGGAATATAAATGAGTATCCGGTGAGTTCATCTGAAATAAACAGTCAATTAACTGACCAGTGAGGATAAGGGGTAAATTTATCCCAGGACTTCCAAATGAACTGTGTGACTACTCCATCCCAGGGGAACAGAAGGAGCGCTTCCAGTTTTCTGAGTGGGTCATGCTGGGCAAGGGACCCCGGTGGGGTGGGGTGGGGTGGGGGATGGAACTCTAAGTCTGCTTCAGACAGGCTATCTTAGACATACATACCTCAACAGTCAGCCACATTCATAACACCAACAGTTGATATGACGTGAACACGAAATTCGTATCCTTTTCTTCCCAAACCCATAATCTAATCATAAACAATAACCAGCCAGGCTGTGTAATAGGCCTTAGGGAGGCTAGTACAGGAGGATGAGAAGTTCAAGTCCTACCCAGGCTACAGGGTGAGTTCAGAGCAGCCTGGGAAACAGACCATTAAAGCAAAACAAAAAACAGACTCGGGTAGAGCTCAGTGATGGGCCCCTGGTTCAAGTCCCATTATGGAAAGAGAAAATGATGGAAAGGAAAGGAGGACAATGTGGGGTAGAGAGTGGAAAAAGAAAAGCTAAACTGGTGATTTTAAGAGTGCATAAAGCCATTCTTCACACACACACACACACACACACACACACACACACACACACAATCCCATTTGCATGGTGTCATGGTTACTTTTCTATTGCTATAAGACACCATGACCTAGGTAACTTATAGAAGGAAGCATTTATTTGGGACTTAGGGTTTCAGAGGGTTAATACCATGATGATCAAGCAAAGGCGTGGTGGCTGGAACAGCTGAGAGCTTACAAGCTCACATCTTGATCTGCAAATAGAAGGCAGAGCAAGAGCATGCTGAGAATGGTTCCGGTTTTGTAAAACCTGCCCCCAGTTACACACCTCCTTCAACATGGCTAGATCTTGTAGGCAGAATTTCTATAACCATTCTGAGACTCAGTGTTAATCACAAATGCTTGCCTGGTAGCTCAGGCTTGTTATTAACTAGCTCTTACAACTTAACCCATTTCTATTCATCTATGTGCTCCCCTGAAGCTCATGGCTTTTACCTCTATCCCATTTTGTGTGTTTTACTCATTCTTCATCTGGCTGTCAACTCCAGACTCTGCCCTTCTTCCAGCATTCTCCTAGTCTGGCTCTCCTACCTAACTTTATCCTGTTCCACTATTGGCCAGCCAGCTTGTTTATTAAACCAATCATAGTGACATATACTTACACAGTATAAGGGAATATTCCCCAGTGTCTCCTGCCTTCACAAACAGTTTCACTACCTGGGTACTAAGTATCCAAGCATATGAGTATATGGGTATCACTCTCATTGAAACCATCCCAGGTGGGATTTTTAAAGAGACAAATCTAGTCCTCTGAATACAGCAGAAACCAGATGGGCAATTGTCCAGGGCCTGAGGGGTGCAGGAGGGTGAAGGAACACACGTACTTAGAAGGAAGAAAGCTTTCTAGGATTCTGTCTTGTTTACTTATTTTCAATTTTCTAACATTTATTTTTTTATTGTATGTATGTGGGTGTTTTGCCTGCACGTTATGTCCATGTACACTCCATGCATGCAGTTCCCAAGGAGGCCAGAAGAGGGCGTGAGGACCCCCTGCCACTGAAGTTATGAGTGGTTGTATGGAACCAGACTTGCATTCCATGGGAGAGCAGTACACACACTTGTAACTGCTGAGCCATCTCTCCAGCCTTTCTTCTCTCTTTTTTTAGATTTACACTATGTGTATGAGTGTTTTGTCTACACATGTATGAATGTACACCACATGTATGTTTGGGGCCCGTGAAGATCAGAAGAGAGTGTCAGACCCCCTGGAACTGGAGTTAAGGGTGGTTGTGAGCCACCTTTTGGGCGCTGGGAGCTGAACCCGGGTCCTCTGGAATACAGCAAGTATTCTTAACTTCTGTGCCATCTCTCCAGCACCCCCCCCCTTTTTAAAGATTTTTTTTATTTATGTATGTGTGTATACGCACATACATACATATGTAGATATGTATGAGTGTGCTCACTGCAGGTCAGAAGAGGGCTCTACCTCTTGTGGGGGTGGGTAACAGGTGTTCTGTGAGCTGGAAACTAGGGGAGTGCTGGGAACTGAACCAGCGTCCTCTGGTAGTGCTCTTAACCACCGAGGCATTGCTTCAGCTCCCAATCTGAATCCTTTTTTTTTTTTTTTTTCACCAATCTGAATTTGTCCCAAAGAAATACATGACCAGCTTTAATTCACTCTCATGACACGCTGCTTATTCAAGCAAGAAATAATGATGTTCAGCTCTTTGCAGCCAGCTTCAGGGAGAGGCAGCATGGCCGCCCAGGTTTCACCTGATACATGTATGTCGTTATCAGTGGATGTTATAATCAGGACCATATAGAATATATTCATATTCTCTCTCTCTCTCTCTCTCTCTCTCTCTCTCTCTCTCTGTGTGTGTGTGTGTGTGTGTGTGTGTGTGTGTGTGTGCGCGCGCGCGCGCGCGCGTGTGTCCTTTGCTTTCCATCAGGATCACAGAAAAGAATTCACTCTCTACAGTTTCCCATGAGGGTCTGCCTTTGTTGCAGCTCAGCTCAGCTTCCTATGGAGTTGTAGCTTTTGAAATAGAACATTAATTGGAAGCAATTATCCAATTACACCAGGAGTGATGATGCCATATACTAAATATTTACCCAGAAAAGAGAGCATTTAACTGAGGGTTTAATTCAGCAGCTAAGCACAATGAGGCTGCAAGCAACCTGGCAATCGCCCAGAGGGTGTCTTCAATGTTTGAAATAGTCAGGAGTGTACATGGTGCAAGTTGCAGAATAAAACAAGCACTGTGAGACTTGGTTCTCAAAGCAGGGCCAACATGCGCAATGTCAATTGCAGAAACAATCAAAGAGCTGTTTATTATCTAAACTGTGTGAGATTTCTCCAACTGCTTGACTTTAAAAGCAGATTGGCTTTTAGCTTTAATCACTATTTTTTCATCCACTTCCTTCCTTTGGTGCCTTCTGTGTGTGCCCTGCATCGTAGTCTGAAGCCGTCCTTGAGATGGATGCTTCAGAAGTGCTTTAGGTACTTCTCAGATAAGCACCAGGAGACTTGCCTTGCAGAACGCAGAAAGGCAGAACGCAGCAGCGCTGCAGCCCAGGGTGTGATAATGAGCTGCGGGTAGTCATTTGCTGCCTGCAATCTGCAGCTTCCCCAGTGCTGGCCAAGTCCTTGGCAGGGAAGGTTTTGGCTGGGCTACTGGCATTGATTAAATGGTGTGAAGAGAATCCACACGGTGTCAAGGAATATTTATACGGGCAAAAATCCATCAACGACACCTGCAACACTGGCCCTCCAAGAAATGGAGGAGAATGTCCATTGAATTTGTTAGCTCGGTGTGAAAGACACTAAAACAAAGAAAACTGAACACGTTGCCACCAACTCTTGGGTCATCTTATTGGTGGCTGTCTTGACAAAGCAATGTAATTCCTTCTCCCTGCTATGATGTCACCTTTGTCCAATCAGAACCTTCCTTGGGAGAGTAAAGGATAACTCTGAAGACAAGGTGAGTGACAGCAGGAAGCCACGCAGCAGTCACTAGGCAACAAGAGCCAGCCTTCACTGGATGAGAATTTTAAAGAGTTTAACCCTTGCACAGGCTGACTTCTTGATGCTGAACTGGTGGGAATGTAGGGACAAAAGCCCAATAGGAATACTAACTGTTTGTTTCTACAGCTGTGCTCCTCCATGCAACGTGGGAAAATGCCCTTCTCAATCTGAAAAGCTTGGGGAAAGTAGAAATTTCTCACCTCCCCTCCCCTTTTTCCCACAAGAGTAGCAGTGTAAACCAGCTAGAACCTCCTTGGTGTTTTATGATGGCTTTTCAGTTGTTCTGCATAAGTAGGTCACAAAAGGGAGTGTCTCTGAAACCACTGCATTCCCTCTCGAAGATACACCGCAGTTAGGGCAGTGTGGACAATGGTGTTTATCCAGTGCACAGTCTTCCTGGGCACCTGAGTAGTTTGTCTAGTAAGAGTAGGTGCTTTTTCATCATGTGCTCAAAATTGCTTCATGGGCATGGGGGTCAAGGTACCACAAGAAAATCTGTCTGTCTATCTGTCTGTCTATCTATCTATCATGTACCTATTATCTGTCTATCTTTTTTTAAAAAAAAATTCTAACTAAACAAAAGTTCTGTAAAATTGTCCCTCCTTCCTCCTCTGCTGTTGAATGTTGCAGAGGCCTAGACAGGCCCAGAATACACTAATGATCTTGCTTTCAAACTGGGGTTCCTGAATTACCTTATTCAGATGATTTTGGTTAGGGTTAGAAATTCCAGGGAAAGCTGGGTGTTGGTGGTGCGTGCCTTTAATCCCAGCACTTTAGAGGCAGAGGCAGGAGGATCTCTATGAGTTCCAGCACAGCCTGGTCTACAGAGTGAGTTCCAGGACAGCCAAGGCTTCACTGAGAAACCCTGTCTGGAAAGAAAGAAAGAAAGAAAGAAAGAAAGAAAGAAAGAACGAAAGGAAGGAAGGAAAGTACTACATGCACGTGGTGCCTATACACACAGAGACACATAAAAAAATAGTTAATAGAACCTTCGAAGTCAACCATGTAGACAAATGAGAAAATATCCTTTGTCTGCAGAAGGCAGCTATCTGACACTAACATGGAGGTCTGACTTGGACAGCTGGCTAAAACTGATAGTTCCCCTCCATACAACTTTTGAATTCCCGCTCTAAATATATTGTTTTCCTTATTTCGTTCAATATCTTTGCAAGTTAAGTGTACTGGATAAAAAGCAAACAAAACAACAACAAAAAGTAAGGAAGAAAACCAAGTAAAGCTAGTTCTCCAACTCCCCTCCAGGGGGCAGGGTTCTCCTGAAACTAGGTTCTGTTGTTCATTTTAGAGTCCTCTGTGTTTATTTTCTTCCCATTAGCAGTTGCATGGTATAGTGATTCCTTAAGATAACTCCTCTTTGGTTTTTGTCAAGGTCATAAACTGACCATTGAGTGACACTGTGCGGTAGTAGACTCCTAGAGGACAGGGCTCATCTTGGTACTGAAGTAACTGTGTGGACTTGTGTTCATGAATGCGTCGGGCTGCTGACTAACTCATTAACAGTGTTCCATCCAGGGAGATCCAATGAGAGTCAAGTAGATAACACCTTAAAGTTGTCAGCAGCCTAGCTAGGAGTGTGGTTCATGCCTACAATTCCAGCACTTGGAAGGAGGGGTTGAGAGCACTGTCATGAGTCTGAGGTCAACCTGGGCTGTAGTGTGATATGGAGAGATATTGTCCATGATTCAGTAAATCCACTGGAGATCAAAACAGCAAAGCAGCCATCCTAGTTAGCTATAGAGCAAGGCAGTGTGGTACACACCTTTAATCCCAGGACTCAGGATTAAGAGGAAGACCTGTCTCAGTTAGTTCAAGGCCATACTAAGTACATGAAATTGATCCAGTCCTAAAAGAAACTGCTCACACCAAGGTGATCTCAGCACTTGGGATCACACTCTGTTAATCGCAGATGGACAGAGTGAGGAATAAAAGGCAGGAGGAGGCAGGATCTGAGAACATTTTGCCTCTGAGGATTAGTGGAGACAGGATTGCCACTTCAGCTGGGTAGAGGTAAGATCTTCTGGCCAGGCGTTGGTGGCGCATGACTTTAATCGCAGCACTGGGGAGGCAGAGGCAGGCAGATCTCTGTGAGTCTCCAGAGCGAGTGCCAGGATAGGCTCCAAAGCTACACAGAGAAACCCTGTCTTGAAAAACCAAAAAAAAAAAAAAAAAAAAAATCTTCTGGCTTGGCTGCTTTGCTTCTTTGATCTTCAGCTTGAATCCCAGTACCAGTCTCTGGGTCTTTTGTGTTACAGTGTGAGGTACTGTCTCAAACATCAACACCTAACACCGTGTGGAAAACAGGTTGTCTAGCACACACATTTTGCAGCAAGGAAACTGAGACCTGGATAAGTTCCCAATTCCTCAAGAGTAGACAGGTTTCTCTGTAGTCAGCCAGAGTCAGCCAGTGTGGAGGTTGGTTGAGATGAAAATCCTGTGGAATTCAAAGACTATTTCCTTTAGCCTGGCTCCCAGCCTCATCTAGGGTCATGAAATCTGTGCTAATGTTTTGAAAACTGAAGGTCATAACCAGATAGGAAATATGCAGGCTCTGTGATTGGCTCAGTAGAGCCTCTTAGAGTCTGGATAATGGAAAACTAAAAAAGAGACATGTAGATTGGTAGGTAGGCAGGTTGGTAAGTAGGTAGGTTGGTAGGTAGGTAGGTTGGTTGGTAGATTGGTAGGTAGGTAGGTTGGTAGGTAGGTTGGTAGGTAGACTAGGCAGGCGAATGGATGGGTAGCTACAGAACCAAATGAATGGACACTTAGATATATCACTATAGCTGCACAAGTTTCCTTGTTGGTTAGCTTTTATTTATTCCTAGTACTATCATGAAGCCAGTGGTACTGGCTTTCTTGCTCCCCCTTCTTGTGGTGATGTTTTATTTATGATCTAATAAAGCTTGCCTGAAGATCAGAATGCAAACCTAGCCACAGCCATAGAGGCCAGGCAGTGGCAATGCAAACACCTTTAAGTCCAGCACTCAGGAGTCAGAGGCAGGTGGATCTCTGTGAGTTCAAAGCCACCCTGGGCTACAGGAGAGTGAATCAGTCTAAAAGAGAAACAGAGCTCACACCTTTAATCCCAGCACTAGGGAGGTGGAGACAGGAGTGATATAGCTGGGCAGAGAGAGGAATACAAGGTGGGAAGAGACAGGAGCTCATTGCAGTCTCAGTGAGTCTGAGGAACTGTGCAGTTGAGTCTGAGGTTTGATGGATCTCCCCTTTAGTCTAAGCATTGGTAGAGGTGAGAACTTCCAAGTGGCTGGCCACTTTGCTTTTCTGATCTTCAGCTTGAACTCCAATATCTATCTCTGGGTTTTTGTTACTTGTGCTACACCTTCTCAGCTCTTTCTTAGAGACACGGAAAGAAGAGGAAAGAGCTCATTTGATGTTCCATTCTGAGTCACGGCCCTCAGAGCTCTCTGTGGATCTCTTTCCTCCCCAGTGACTTTTGTTTAATCTAATTAAAATAGATTCTATTTCTTATAACAAGAACTTGGGAAATCCAGGGAGTTATTAATATCCATAACAAAAATAATAGGCTCCAAACTTGACTTATTTGCAGATATTTTTAAGACAATATTATGTCAGTCAGTAACTGAATGTGAATTGTGTTACTTTATTTAGAATTTTCTAAAACTAAAAATCGTGTTTAAAAATTGGAAAGATCTGTTTGCCTGCTCAGGTAAGTAATGAGATACCAGTAGGTGGTTCATGCATTGGACTGATAAAAAATACTAGCTCAGATTTATATCCACATGCTTTCTGTGGAGGAGATTCCTCAGTAGGTTTTTCTTAGAGACAGTCAAAAGGGCTGAGTCAGTGATTCAGAGATGTGTTGAGTATGTATCAAGCAAAGGAATGACTCTCCAGGTGGCTATATTCTAGTTCCTGGAACTTGTGAATATATTACCATCAATAATGGCAAAGGAAGCAAAGGTACCATATGGAATTAGGTTTTCTAGTCAGCCCACCTCAGGGAGATTGTAGATTATCTGGGTGGGCAGAATGTGATCACCATGTTCCTAAGTGTGGGCAAGAGAGGCAGGGAAGAGAAACGTGGAGTAACAATATAAAAGACTCAACCCACCAGGGAAGGATTAAAGATGCAAGGAGCATTAGACAAGGAGTAAGTACAGCAGCCTCTAGAAGTGAAAGGGACAGAATACAGAGCCTCCAGAAGAAACACAGCAGCCTTAGGTTAAGTCTGGCTTGGCAGGAGTTACGTCTTCTTGAAAACTACACTGGGAAGACTGCAGTTTAGAAACGGGTTTTGTAGGTGTTAAGCCTTCACCCCTCCAGGTTATAGACAGTGGGGGGCTGAAGAGCTAGGGAGTGCATAGTCAATTGGTGGGCTGGGTCTCACCTTCCTGCAGAGGGAACAGGTGGGCAAAAAAACACTCTCATCCCAGTTAGGTCAGTCAGAGGTAATTCCCAAGATGGCCCCCAGTGTTGATCCCACCTATGGAGAATAAGACCACTACCACAGTTTAAAGCCAAATTTGAAGCAAGCTGTAAATACCTGCCAGGGCTTTGGCCAGGTCCATACCCAGGATCCAGGGAAATATCCCAGAATCACAGTTTGTGGTGGTTTAAGAAGGAACCCACATAATTCATTGCATTTTTCATCAGGTCCAATCAGGGGCAGGCATATATCCTGATGGAGCTCCAGCCTGTGAATCTCCCACCCACTTGTGATCAAGCACATCCGGTGGAGATGGGTCTAACAATCTTGTTTAGGGGAGTGGAGACGCGTGCATTTTTATCCTCCATAAACAACAGCCTCCAGCACTTCAGGGACCATTTGTCCTTGGGCAAGAGGCTTGCAGATCAGAGGCACTTTTGTTTCATGATCTTTAAGGCACAATAATTAAGACTTAAAACATAACTTCTGGCTCTCACACTGGCACCTAGAGACCTAGAGTTTAGGGAGTGAACTCAGCTCTTTTACCAAAAGAAGCCTACAGGTGAAGGCTGGATTGGACTATGTTATACCAAGAAGAGGAAGGAGGAAGAGGAGGAGGAAGCAGAGGAAGATGTGTCTTTTCCCAGGGCCAGCTTGGTTTGTTTTGTAGGACTTCTGAGTGGGTGGGCAGAAGGCCTCAAAATGACAGGGAAGGGAATGGAGGGGGAGGGAGGAAAGAAAGGGGCAGGGGAAAGGGAGGGGACTTCTGGGAACCCCGGGCTCATGGCTAACTGGGAGCTTCCAGTCAGACAGCTAGCATCTGTGATAGTTAGTCTTGGTGGGATTTCAATGACCAGGAAAGCAAATCCCTGGGTGTCATCGAAGGTCAGAAAGGCTTGATGAATGAGGGATAGATCCAGCCTGATGGTGGGTGACACTATTTCATGGGCTGGGTTTCCAGACTGAATAAATGGATGCCTGGTGAACAGCTGCCTCACACTCTCCATCCATGCCTTTCCAGGGATGGTGGACTCCTACCCTCAGATTGTGAGTCCAAACAAACCCTTCCTTAAATTCCTGTTGTGTCTTTTGTTGCAGTGATGGAAGCAGCAACTAAAGTAACCAGGCGGTGGTGACGCACGCTTTAAATCCGGGCACTGGGGAGGCAGAAGCAGGCAGATCTCTGTGGAGTTCGAGACCAGCATGTTCTACTGAAGGGACCAGCTCCCCATTTCGGCAGCCATGACAGTAACACTAAGATGTCAGATGCCTGCCTCGTGGCAAGGAACCAATCAGAAGTTAGCTGGTGGTGCTCTGTTTTTTGCTCTGTTGTGCTTTACAGACAAGTGCACAGCAATGATGCGCAGAGCATAGCAACCACCCTGGGAGGGCCTATGGGCCATAACAACTGATTGGCCAATCAACACAGGGCAAGCCCTCCAAACCTGGAGGCACACCAATCCTGTGCGTACCCCTAGACACTCCCCTTACGCTGCCCTATAAGATCTCTATGCAGCCCCTTCGAGCTGTCTTTGCTAGCCATCCTCCATGGCGGGTGGGTGAAAGACCCGAGCTAACATGGGGTTAGCTCGTTAAACAACAATAAAGCCTCATGCAGTTTGCATCAAGCTTTCGAATCTGCCTGGTGACTGGGGTGACTGAGGTCCTGGGCTGAGACCCCAGAGGCCTGA